ATGAGGGCTAAATTTTACTGCCGATTGAATTAATATGTTTTAATGATTATTTTTTATCAAGTTCCATAGTACATATTTCGATGTGTGTCATTATATCCATTCAAATTATGTTTAATTGCATTATTCTATTAATAATTATCTGAAATAATTTATTATTTGTTCTATTAATTCTAATTTTTTTATTTTCTTTTTTAAAGTGATCTTAATTTATTGAAATATTTTCTAAATAATGGTTCCTAAAATATTCTACTTGAGAGTCTATACAATTCAAATTATTACTGCTTTAATCTGAATTTATCATATTCAAATTAATCATATTTATTAATGATGAATAGCTTAATTTTTAAATTCTTGATATTAATCATGGTATTTTATCTGCTTTTATATGGTCTAATTTAATTGATTTCGACTCTTTTAAAACTGTATTAGGTTAATTACATATATGAAAGTACTTTTTTAAAGAGATATCATAAAATTTTAATTTATGATCAACATCATAAAAACTTAATAAAAAATCTGGTATCTTAATTTTAGAAATTAGGAAGTATGGTATAAGAATAAGAATAACAGTATCAGGATTTTATTTACACATAATATAAATTTTGTGAAAAATTTAGAGCCTTTAACAATTTAAATGGTTATTTTGAGTTACTAAAACCAATTATTAGTATTCTCAGTAACTAATTTTAATAATAAAAATAAACTATAGATTTATATATTTAAACAAAATTCCAATATCAATAAATAAATAACTATGTATCTGAATTATTAGAAACAAATCTATGATATATTTAGAGATTTTTGAAAATTTCTTAAAAATGTTTAAATCTTGTAAATTGATTACTATTTTGTATCCAAAACAATACTTAAAATTATGTAAATAAGTTAGTATAAAGTAATTTTTAATACTAATTAATTTTCAATAATAAACCAGATTAGTTAATCTCATTGTTGTAATAAAGAATCTATTTTATTCTATTTATAGTATACCTCTAAAAATTGTGATTTAAAAACTTTATAAGATAGCTATTATTTTTATAATGAATTTTAATATTAATATTTTCAACTTTTCTTATTATCTTATTATAAATTTACATTCTTAAGAATTAAATTAATATTATTTGCTTATTTATAGCAATTAATGAAATAATGCAACAAAATGAGCACTAATAACATTAAAAATCATTCAAATACTCAATTATTTCTTAAAATCCCATTCCATAAAGAAATAGGTTGGAAATATGTATGGAGAGAAACTAATAAAATTCAATTTTTTTATTTTCAGAAGAATTAACAATTAGAGTTTTTTAATTTAATGGAGGAATGAGCTTAAAACAGATCTAATTACTCAAAAATAATAGAACTTCAGTTTTAAGCTTTTTTCCAAAACAAAAAGACTAGTTTATTACATGTTCAGAAGATTCTTCAATTCTCATTTGGTCCAAACAACTAATTTCAAAAGGCAAGTTTATTTAAAAATTATCAGGGCATATCAATGGAGTTAGTTGTATTATATTTAACGTTTAGAATAACCTTAAGTCTCAGGAGGTGAAGACTCATAAATTAAATTTTGGACTCCATTTAAATCAAATAAAGAAGAATAAATAAGAAACATATCTGATTAATAATGGCACTGTTAGTAAACGATAAAGGATTTCAAAACAACCATTGCCACATTGTCTATTAATGAATAAGGAAATAAGTTAATCTCATGTAGTATTAATTAAAATATTTTGGTGATCCAAAAATCATCAGCTACATAAATGTGGATAGTGATTTAAAAAATTAAAATCGAGATTTGGGTCGCTAACTATAGTTTATTAATGATAAGAACTTTGTATTTGTTCCATATGATGGAAAATAATTATATTTATATAGACTTAATTCTGTAAATAATTACACCAGGAAAGCTAATTTTTTAGTTTCTTTGGGATAGTAATATTACCACATAAATCCTTTTTATTTTAAAGATAGAAATATACTCATTCTTTAGGGAAATCTGTTTTTAAGCTTTTTTCGAATAAAAGGCAATAAAAAGTATTCATTTAAAAAAAAAGAAAATTTTGAAATTGAGAAAGAATTACAAATCGATTTCTAACCTGGTTTCTTGAAGGCTATTCTTAGTCTTCATGGAAAATACTTGATTACTTTGCATCAAAATTAATGTGAAATTTAAGTTAGATAATTTTAAGAAATATGATTATGAAAATGTATCATTAATATTTTACTTTGAATTATGGATTATATTCAAATTTTTTCGATAAGATATAAAAAGTAACATTCATCTTACATTATCCAAACTAAAATTACTACTTTAAATACAATATTTCGAATTACAATTCTGTTTTTGTTAAGTATCATAAGAATTAATTTTATTATGAACTCAAACATAAATCATCAGTTCTTAATTAACTAATGTATAAAGAGAGATTGCAATAAGATCAACTGACCGAAAAATAATGGGACATAAGAATGTGAATACTTTAGTTGGTATGAGAATGAATTTAGATTGGTGAAAATAAAATTTCAATATTTATTACCATAAGAAAAGGAGATCATATATATTTTTATGGATAAATCCTAATAATGTAAAATACTGGAACTAATTAATTTAGAGAAAATTTTACCCAAAACTCTTAATTGCTCCCAAAATTTGGAATAAATATAAAATATTCAATCGTATGGAAACTATAATCATTAAATGTAAAATATTGGTAATAGGACTACATATTGGAAAGGAAAACAACTAATTGAAGTTGTGGATATGAAAGAAGAAAAATATGATTAATTTTGAAAAATATTATATCTCAAGGCGAATAAAAGTAATGCTTGTTGTGGAAAGAGTTGAAGAAAAATTATTGGTTGGAATTCACTGTCCTTTTTTATTATATAGTAAATCTTAAGTAAATGAAATTGGAGAATACTATAATAATATAAGAGTTGCTTTTTGGAAATATATTCTAAATAAAAAGGATACATATAAATCGAAGTTATATCTAGCGGAGGTGGATATTAAGAGGCTTGAAGTTAAAAAAATTGTAAATGGATTAAACTTAGTGATGAATTTTGGGAGTATTATTGCTTCTTTTGATTTATAAACTAAGCTAAATCATTTATAATGGTGAATATAATAGTGGAAAAAAAGTCGGCCTTTGGGATACCTATTTTGAGAAGGATGGGAGATTTAATAATTGATATTAATGTAAGATTATATCATAATCTGTTTATCTTTATCACAAATTATGAAAAAAAAGTGGCGGAGGTTTTTATAATGACAAAATATTGAGTGACGAATTTTTAAGGTACATTAAATTTGGGAGGTGGATTGAGTTAAGTGATAGGTTTTTGAGGTAAAGGTTTACAAGTAATTTTTGTTAGAAACTTTTAAATCATTTTTATGGGAGAATACAAAAAATGATAACAAAATTGGGACATGGGATATTTATTAAAGAGAGAAGGGATATAAAAAGAATTTCAAATTAATGTTTATTTTATTTTTTTCAATAAATTTAGTAAAAATAACAAATAGAGGAGGTGGAAAATATGATAGTGAAGGCTCATAAAAGATTGGATAGTGGATAGAAATAAGTGATGGATTTTGGAGGTAGTATTATTCATATAAATACATTTGAAAAGCAAAATAGTTGTTACAAGTGAAGGTTAGAATAGTAAGAAAGTAGGAAGGTGGAATTTTTCATTTGTTAATTGGGATAATGATAAACCAATAGAAGTGATGAAATTGCTCATAGAAAAATAAAATAGAAGCGGAGGATAAAATGAGTAAATAGAAAGGGCCTATAGTAATATTAGTTAGATAAAGACATGAATTGGATTGAATTGGTAGATATTTTTGAGTGGAATTATTAATGAAAATATCATGTTGAATATTACAATGGGAAAAGGGTTGGTAGGTTACATTATTTATGTTCTTACATATCTTTTGGATGATATTCGAGGTGGTGGGTCTCATGAAATAAAAACAAATTAATGATAAATGAGCTTTAGATTAGTTAAAGAATGGAAGATGGATTGAATTGATATATCATTATTAGTGGAACTTTCAGCTCAATTTTCAGGGTGAATATAAAAATGATATAGCAATTGGTAGGTGGGATATTGATAATGAGAATGAATTATTGTAAAAATTGTTAGAGTTCAATGAATATCGAAATTGAATATAAAATAGTGGTGGAGGATCATATGATTTTGATAAAATAGGAAATGATGACCAAGTTAACTAAATTAACATTGAAAATGGATTAAATTGAGTAATAAATACTCAATGTATGTTTTTGAAAATTATTAATTTATAAGGGAAAGTTAGATTATTTATAGTGGTGAATATAAAAAAAGGTATTAAGGATTTAAAAATAAGTAAAACTAAATTTTAAAAATTTTAAGTAAGTTGATTATTGAAAATAATTGAAGAAAAATAGATGGAGCGATTATAATTTATGTATATTTTTGGAAATAAATAATTATTATAAATCAAGTATATACTTTTATATTTCTATGATACCTTGTTAGATCATGTGCAATTATTAACTTTTACAAATAAAACTCAAAAAGAAATTTTACATTTCTTGTTAATTCTAGCTATATTATCCCTAAGATAGAGTAAAATGTTATAAATGTTAATATAACTTTAAGCATATTGATTGGGAGAAATGATATTCTCTACGTTATCGAAATTTTATTGTGTAATTATTGAATTCTGAATTGGATAATTTTATGCCTTTTTCTGCCCAATTTTAAATTTTATTTTAAGATTTCTGTGAATAAAAATCATTTAAAAATAAATATGCAGATTAATAAATCTATTTTTCAAATTTCCTTCTATAATCAAATAAGCATGTTTGTAGTTATCTTACTTCTCATATATTTTGCGATTTCACCAAATTTCATTATTTTATCAAATATTGATAGTCTAATGAATTTTATTATTCCTGTATCAAATATATCTCAATTTTTTTTCATAATTCTCATTTTTAAACTATTATCATTTATTTGTAATTTTCTTTTAATTTTAATGATTTTTAGTTAATTCAATCACTTATGTTAAAACGAGTCATTAGAAAAAGTAAAATTAATACATAATATGCAAGGGACATTTATTTCATAAATAAGAAATAAAAGATCTTATGAGTAAGAAATACTAAATTTTAAATTATTTGAACTTGCATTTTTCTTTTCTTTTTATTTTTCTTATGTATCCAAATTGGTTTTAGAAGATTATTTTTTCTACTTGTGCTGCTTTTTTTTTTTTTCAACTTTTATCATTTCTTATTTATATCAAATCTAATTTACAACATGAGTGA